TCTGAGTAGGAGACCTCAGTAGAAAAACGTACATCTTCTAATCTAGACCATTATTAGCCCTCAAGTTATTCTGCTATACTTATAAATGTAGTATTATATATTACATGTTATTATTAGACTAATTTGTGTTATTTTCCGTTGATACAAAAATAAACTTTGAGAGTAGAGGGGAGACACTGAAAGGGACAGGTCCACCTGGGCTAAGGAAGCAGCTGCCGAGGTTATGGACATGTGTCTCTTTTCCTCACCCTATCTTCCAGCTGTGCCAGGCTTGGCCTGAGCCGGCAGAAGCCCCAACAGATAATGGGCTCCTGCAGTTGCTATTAGGTCTTGGTTTCAAATTCCTTTCTTGTTAATGTTTAATTGAAAATTGCTAAAATGCAGTCATGTCAACTCTTGGTAATCTGTGCTTCCCAACTTAATATATAAAGGAAGCCCCCAAACAAAATTGCAAAAAAGGGAACTCTTAAGGGAAAAACGCACCAGAAAACTGGACATTTGTCCTAATTTTCTTCTCTTTGTAGAAGCCACGGGTACTGTATAGCTAAGTACTTCTCTCCAACTCGCTTCAGTGGAAGCCTAGCTGGGCCCGCGGGAGGTGGAAACCCTTCCAGAAAGCCAATAGCGCCCCCTATGGGTCATGGAACGCAAGCGTTACCTCCCATCCGGTCAGGGAGGATGCTGCTGTCTTCAATTCAAGCTTAACTTTTAAAAGGAGGAAAGAAAGAGGATGCTCCTCCATATGAACAAATAATAGCATCCTGCTGACAAGTGCTCTAACATACACCTACTAATGCTGGTAAAATATGTAGACAAAATGATGATCACATCCCCTGGTGACCTCATTCTCCCTAAAGTCAGCAGTTTTCAGTCGGCTGTGTATCCCAACGTAAATATTCTACACTTACACATACACACATTCCTTTCGCTTTTACTTTTATAATTTTAAATATCCACCTCTGTATTTTCTAGCTGAAATAAAATCTTCTGAGATCGTATGCTTGATTATAACCCAACACAATCCTAAATTTCATAGGAATAATGAAAAGGGGTCCACTCCCTAATCAGCCAAGGGCAAAAGGGGTCTCACTTGCAGCATTTGCTTCTAGGCTTTCTCTCTCACGCCTCAAGGTGAGCAAAATCATGGTCCCCTGGGATGTCCTAATCCTATTCTGCAGAGTGAAGAATGTGGACACTTCTAAAGGCCAGAAAGGCAGAAAGACTGTTCCCCTAGGCCTGCGGAAGGAACACAGCCTTCGGGATCTAATCCAGGGAGAAGCATTTTGGACTTCTGACCTCCAGAGGTATAAAATAGTAAATTCATCTTGCTTTAAGCTACTACATTTGTGTTCACTTGCCACAGCAGCAATAGGAAATGGATACTCCTGTCCTACTCTTTCTGTCTGTCCTTTTACAACCTAATTGTAGATATGAATGATCTTGGTAGAACAGATGGATGACACTCTGAACTGTCTGGTGGTGACTTTCCAGATAAGTCACTAGGCAGTCCTATTCTAGTCTCTAATTTCACACTAATGTATTCCATGCTCAAGTAATAGGTAAAACAGGTCTTCCACCTGCTGGCCTCCAATGAATGAGATAAAAGAAAGGGGTGCATTCACCACTTGCTCTCAAAGGAGGCAGGAGTGGGGAAACCCTGCAAAGTTGGAAGCAGGTTGGCTCACAGGAAAGATTCTAAGGGCTTCCACAGATGAAACAAATCGCCATTCCCTGGGCCTATCCATAAGTGAAGACCACTAGCTCAGGACCACGAGCGGATCAATGATGCTGAAATTCAAACCCAGACTTTTTTTCTTTTATCCTAATTTCCTCTGTGCATACCAGTAGCTCTTGTACTCTTTGGCCTCTGGATTCCTTTCTACTCTTAAACGTATAAGGATCCCCACAAGGGTTATGTTTGTATGCATTTTTATCTGTCCTTACCTACTATGATAGAAATTAATTTAGGTCAGTGATTGCAGAGCTTGCCTCACATGCATGAGGACCTGAGTTCAATTCCCAGTACTGCAAAAGAATTAAAAACTAAAATAAAATATGTATTTTAACTCATTTTTAACATAATAAGTTCTTGGATGTTGACATAAAAGCATTTTTATAAAAAATAACTATATTTTCCAGAACAAAACAAATAGTGATGAGAACACTGTTTTTACACTTAGTCAAATCACTTTAACAGAAGATGAAAAAGTATTTTAATAGTCTTTTCAGATAATTTTGATAAATATGGCATTCCACATAAAAAAGCAGCAAGTTCAATTCACAACTGTATCCCACAGGTGCTTTTCCCTGGAGTTACGACTGAACTTTAGGTAGTGAACCAAACTGCTTTATGTGTCCTTCCCATTTCTCTACACAGAATATTTTAAAAGATGCATTCAGGGATAGAGACCTGGCAAGATTAATAATCTTCATGCATTCTTAAGTGAAACTTCACATCTTTCTTAACTGCAAAGGCCTAAAAACATCGTGACTTCTAGTGTAGCACAGTAACCCTGCACTGATCCACAACTGGATACCAGCAGTTTTGCCCACTAAGCTTTTATACCATCAGTGCAAATGTCAACACAAAAGAAAAGGCAAATAGCATCCCAGTGTTACTTTAAAAATAACTTTGACCCTGGGGTTCCCTGAGTTTTTAAACTTTAAAGAAGCAAATAAAAATTATCCAACACTACCCCAGATACCCGCTGTAAATGCTATGGGAATCCACATGTTTTTAGAAAACTATATCAGACTGGCAAGCACCATCCTGTTAATATTTGCATGCAAACCGTGGTAGGAAGGGGTGTGGTATGATGGGGGAGTTGGCATTCCTTGCTTATTTTGCTGTGTGTTTTAATTAACCCTAATGTGTTAATTGAGCCTGTGTGTTTTAATTTGCTCCTAAGTTTTGGGGCCTTTTTAGCCCTTCATTGTACCCTGTAAATCACTTCTACTGTAAGGATGGTTCCTCTGGAGTTATCATGGTCTATCACTATTAATGTGGCTCTGGGTAATTTCATTACAGAGATTCTGGCCCCAAAGGTGGAGAGTCAGGGCTGGCACAAGCAGTTTGCTGGATCCATACATTAGTTCAACCAGCAAGAAGAAACAGTGTGCCCACAGCCTTGCCAACAGACCTAGATCACAAGTTCAGAGCAGATCAGCGGCAAAAGCGCCTGCCTGGCAAGCGCAAGGTCGTGAGTTCAGTTCCCGGTACCGGAGAAAAACCAAAAAAAAAAAACAAGTTCAGAGCAGAAACTGCAGCAAGAGAGATAGGAAGTCTCCCCAAGGAGCCCACGAAGTAACGTGCCCACAGTCTCTTCCCCACCATGAGCAGCTATGCCTAGGTTGCTAAATGTTTCTTTCCTTCTATTGATTTAAATGTAGTAAACACTCTTTTTTAAAATGTGCTTTGTCCTCCTTTGTCCATTTCAAGTCTGGTCATCATTGTACTGCAATCCCACGTCAACACAGTAGAGAGAAGTGCCAACAAGCGTTCCAGCCCTCACATTCCACAGCTCAGTGATTTACAGAGCAGAAGGAAAAGAAGGAGCAGTTCACCACACCACAGGATTCTGGAGCTTCACAATCAACCCTGACTTCAGCCATGCTCAAAAGCAACGCACTGGGCAGGGAGCAGAATTTAAAAGGAATAAAACTATAAGCCCCACAAAGCTCATATAGCATCTGTCCTGGTCTCAGTATTTTCTGATGCAAAAACTCTTTCAACATTCTGAAAACTTTTAACACAGGAAAGCAAAAGCCATAGGATGTAGGTGGGGACGTTGGAAGATTTTAAAACAGTTTACTTCTGTCAAGCACTGTACAAAATATGCAGTGAATGCTTTCTAGAGATCACTCACAGGAGGCAGAAAGACTACACAGTTTGTATGACCTTTTATGAAAAAGTGGCATTTGGCGTCAGAAAACTTGGCAAAAGCCCGAAAGCAAGCAATATGCATATAACTACCAAAAATCACTAAGCGATTTTTCTTCCTTAATCTTTGAAGAAACTAACTGGCATCCTGAAGCCACTAGCATCATAAAACAAGCAGTAGCCCTCATTGGAACAGTGTCTGAATTTTTACAACCCAGTTGGGAGCGTATCATACCAACAAAAATGTGTACTTATTAGATTACTATAAAACTGATACAAATAAAAGCCACACAGCTTCAAGTGTGAAACTGAATGCGCAGGAGGTGGAAAGGAGAGATACCAACGACATAGGGATGAAAACCCTACCGCAAGCTTTCTTTGCGTGGAATCTAAGGGCACATTGGCACTTTTTGAAAAGCACTGCTTCCAAAGAAAGGGTCCATCTGGCTCCAGCCTCAGCTCTGGGGAAGGGTGAGGTTCTCTGGGACCGATTTCCCCACCTGGTTCTCCATCCTCTCAAGTCGGGAATTCTCCCTAATCCCAAATTCCGCCTGGGCGCGCGGGACTGCAGCGCTAAGAGCGAGGCTGGTCCTGGAGCGCAGAGACTTCGGAGCGCGCGGCTGCCCGGGTCCAGCTCGCAGCCTTTCCCTGGCCTCCCCCTGGTCCGCTGCGAGCCCCCGCCAACAGCCCTCCTGCCTCGAGACAGGTGAACGCGAGCAAAGAGGATGCTCACCTTTGCCCCCGGGGAAATTCTGGGCAGGGAAAGGCAGCTCCGCAAGCACCCCCCCTTGCCACGCCAAGAGCCGTTTTTCCTGCCTTTTCCTTTGCCCTTGCCTGACTCTCCCCGGGGCACACTCACAGGGCTCAGTACCCCGACGCCAGGCATAGTTAAACACCCACGTCCCCTGGCGCCGACGGCGTTCCCACTCCCTGCCCGGGCGCAGAGCGCCCAGTGCCGACTCCGCGCGCCCGGACCCCCACGATTAGGACGCGCAGGTTAGTGACACGACACGAAACCAGGACAGACGAGGCGGCGGTCCCCAGAGCGACAGGCGGGACGGACAGAGCAGCAGCGAGGAGGGCGCCCACAGCCAGGCGGCCGGGCGGGCGCTGCGCGTACCTGGGTCCCCCGTCGAGGACGCGACGGGGAGCAGCAGGGCCAGGAGCAGCAGCGCCGCGCAGGACAGCGGGCGCGGAGC